GCACTTGGTACTAATAAAATATCAGGCAAGTTGCTAAGACAGGTACCATGCCTACTTTCACAGGGCTCATGGTCTAGCAGGGGAGTTGGACATTTCGTAAGTGATTTCACAAGTAATTATTCCATTCTTATTTTGATGCTGGGCAGAAAAAACAGGGCACTAGGAAAATGTGTAGTGTGTTAGACTAACCTAGTGGGGATGGGGGTGGACAGTAAAGGCTTCCCTAAATGATAATTTACTTACTATCTAAAGAATATACAGCAAGATAGGAAGTAGAGTTCCAGAAAGGACCAAACTTATATTTGAGGAAATAAAGCAAGCATAACTAGAGCACACAGAACAAGAGGATGAATGACATGAGACAAGAAATGGTGGGGGAAACAATCCAGCAGATTCATATACAGAATTGCACCTTGACATCTATAACTTCCCAGCACCCAATTTGATGAGGAAAAGTCATCCATAACCTCAAACTCGGGGAAAAACAACAACAAAAAAAAACAAGAAAAACCCACATTTTTGGCCAGGCCATATGGCTTTGGATCAGATTAAGATATGTTTCTTCTATGTATAATACAGTCTCATATGACCTTACTTAGAACTGCCCGATTTCTGCTCAACTCAGTAAATGATCAACACTATTATGTATTTTCTACGTGAGTACCACAAAGCAAAGTTACACCCTTGATAAAATATAAAAAGTTCGTATGTCAAGTCCACATTTCAAGGCCACATTAGTGATTGACCCAATTGATGGTTTTGCAGTTTTTTTGATCAAATATTTCAGTTTCCCATAAATGTCCAGAAAATAGCCCTAGAAAATAGATATATTTTTTCTTTGGGATGATTTTGTGTATTTTTAGCTTAAGTGTAAGAATTTAAGAATACACGTCAGTATTTACTATGGACTAGAGGTATCCTTTTCTATCCTAAAGCCTAGATAGCCTCCCCCCTCGCTGTGTCTCAGCTGATGATCTGCACCCTGCATCACTAATAAAAATCGGACAACAAACTCCAACAAATCTTCCCACTACATCTATTAATCTACATCTGTACCCAAGTATGGCCTTTCCTCCTATCCCTGTGAATGAACTGTCCATCCCCTCTCAATACAGTGTCAGTCTTTTCCTTTCTACTAAATCACTCCATCATTATATCAATATGTTGTCATGCCATCCACCTTAATAAAAAATTTCTCAGTTTAGAACCCCCTTCAGCCACCCCATTTTTCTGCTCCATATCCATGGAAGTTCCTATAAAAAGCAGCCCTCCTATTCTCTAGTCAATCAGTTGCAACCAGGTTTCCATAACTAACACCACCACCACCCCAACACTGGCAATCTCACACTGCTAAGGCTTATTATGGTCAGTTCTCGATCCTTTTTTTAAACCACTATGCAGCATTTAACAACCGCTCAATCACTCTTGAGCCCCTTTCTTCACTAGGCTTCTGGGACATTACCCTCTTACTCTTTGGCCACTCCTCTTCTGCATAATGCCCCTTCCCAAGATATCCATGTCCTAATGCCCAGAATGTGAATAAGTCATTTAGATGGCAAAGGGACTCTGAAGATAAGATTAGAGATTTTGAGATGGGGAGATTATCTGGGACTATCTAGATGGGTCTGATGTCATCACTAGGATTAGATGTGACATCAAAATCAAGAGCTTGTAATGGTATGAGGAATAGGCCAGAAGCCAAGGAATGCAGGTGGCCTCTAGAAAATGGAAAAGTTCAGGAAATAATCTCCCCTGTAGTCTCAAGAAACACAGCCCTACCACCTTGATTTTAGATTTCTGATCTCTAGAATTTTAAAGTTGTTTTTTTTTTTTTAATTCTGTAAGTCTGTGGTAATTTGTTTCAACAGTAATAGGAAACTAATACATCTTCACAAACTCAATCTTTGCCCCAGGGTTCAGCCTTTGTAGCTCTTACTTTCTCTGTACCTGTTTTTCTAGTTAGGTCAGTTAACTCCAAGGCATTAAATGCCTTGCATGATGGCAGTTCTCAAGTGCCTATCATTATCTGGATCTTTCCACAGAATTCTAGTTCCATATAGTCAAAAATGTTAAGGGATACAGTTGAGTATGTCTAAAGGAAATCTCAAACTTAGTCTATCAGAACCAAACTTTTTTTTTTTTTTTTTTTTTTTTTGGGGTATCCGGCCACTGTTGTGGCCTCTCCCATTGCGGAGCATAGGCTCCAGACGCGCAGTCTCAGCGGCCATGGCTCACGGGCCCAGCCGCTCCGCGGCATGTGGGATCTTCCCAGACCGGGGCACGAACCCATGTCACCTGCATCGGCAGGCGGACTCTCAACCACTGCGCCACCAGGGAAGCCCCAGAACCAAACTTTTTGATCTGATCACACAAAACCATCTCTTCCTCTCGCATTCTCCATCCCAATAAAGGGCAACTGCAATTGGGAGATTGGAATTGACATACATACACTATTGATACTATGTATAAAATAGATAACTAATAAGTACCTATTGTATAGCATAGGGAACTCTACTTAATGCTCTGTGGTGACCTAAATGGGAAGAAAATCCAAAAAAGAGGGGATATATGTATACTTATAGCTGATTAATTTTGCTGTACAGTAGAAACAACATTTTAAAGCAACTATACTCCAAAAAAAATTAATAAAAAAGAAAAAAAAGGGGCAAGTGCATTCTAGTTATTCAGAGCAAATTCTTGGACCCATGATTCTTCCCATTCTGATATCCCATACGTGACCAATTGGCTTATCCTCATTTTATTTTTAAATATATTCAGAACAAACACTTCACACCAAATACTCTACTATCCAAATTCCCCGAATTGTCATCATCTTTGCCTTGATCATCACTATAGCTTTCTTCTTTCCCTTACCTTCTGTAAGGTACCATCCCCACAACTGACAGGTGACCCCATAGAAGTGAGGTTTCACACAGCACCATCCAAAGTCTTGCCTTCTCATTCAGGGTAAAATCTAAAGCCCATAACACTGCCTTTAAGGCTCAACAAGATACTGGACACAGGTACACCTCCTACTTCCCCCCATGATGTCACTCTCTTCCAGCCTTGCTCCACCTTCTTAGATTCTGCGTCCTGTGCGTAAAATAATGTTCTGTCAGTTACTTGCATGACTTATCGCCTCACGTACTTCCCGATGTTGGTTTAAACTTTACCTTTTCACAGAGTACTTCTGACCACTCTATAGAGAACAACTTCCCACCCTTGGAACTCTGTACTATCTTACTTTTCTCTATTCGTTAAAAGCAAACATATATATACACAAATCATATAGATGAGAGAAATCTTTTATACAAATTTCCTTATGAACGCCTTTACGATCAAAAATAATTCTCATAAGAACTTGTATCAAAACCTCCAAAATGGCTTGAGAATTCCTCATCTGAACCACAGAACAGTTATTTTTGTGTGACTACGTTCTCATTCTCCCAAGAACGCAAAAGAAGAGAATTTATCACATACAACGGACACCTTAGGGTGTTGGTTCCCAAAATTCAGTGTCAGGATCACGTGGCCAGCTTGCTTGTTAAGACACAAATGGGTGGGCCTTATTCCCAGAGTTTCTAAGTAACTAAGTCTGAGGTGGAGGCGCAGAATTTACATTTTAACAAGTTCCAAAACATGCTTATGCTGCTGGTCTGGGAATCATAATTTGACAACTATTGCCTCAGTGTATTAGGGCTTAGTTCTCTACCAAAAACCATTGAAACATGCTACTCTAATGTGAGGATCATAAGGTTATATTAAATTTTCTAAGATAGAGCTATCATATTTATTCTTCTTAATGTAAATGCTTATATAAAGATGAACAAACTCTTTCATTAATCTTAAAAAATATTAGAAATATTTAGCAAGATTTAGGCTTTTTAGGATTATCGATAGGGTAATATTTGATTAATGATCAAATACAGGTAAATTTCTGTATAACGAGTTTTAAGAAAACAAAACAAACCACTGATGACTATTCATACCATGAAAACTGATTATGATTTACATTCTCAATATTTAAAACAGTAACTGATAGTCAAGACTGATTCACTGTGATTAACTTTCTATCCAAAATGTGGTATTCTTTTATTATAAAATGTCAATATGTATGTTACCATTATCTCATTTTCTTTAAAGTCCATCTATCTCTATTTACTGATTGTCTAACATCAGCCAAGCACTGCCTTAGTTGTTGTAAGTGAACTTATTTCATTGGGAAGTTTCTGACAAGCAAAATACCTGATATTTAATAACTGTTTAATAAATAAACACAGAAATGAATAGCAGTAAAATTTACAGGTACAAAAATGTTTCCAAAACATGAAAACAAAGACAATCCAGTATAATCTAAACATGAATGATTTGATATTTTGAAATCACTTACCTTTAAAATTTTAACAAAATATCTGTACAGCTGTGCAAAATGTTTACTACATTAGGCCTGAGATTGCAGGCCTGAGCAGTAGACCTGCTCACCAGGTGGGCCCTCGGCCAGTGTCTGGGAACTTGGCTCTTGGAGTGTTTCCAGTGAACAGTTAACTGGTAAGAGTGGCTCACTGTGCCTAGATGTTCATATAAACAATATGGTTTACAATATGCTTTATGTTGAACACCGGCTTTTCTCCTGGGAGCCTGAAGTTTGTGTGCAAGGCAGAGGGTATCTATGTGACCAACACAGTACCTTGGACATCAACTCTCTAATGGGCTTCCCTGAAAAGAAACATCACACCCAAACTGCTGCCTTTTCACTGCTGGACGGAAGGTGTACTTTGTGCGACACTGAAGGAGACAGATCATGAGAAAGATTACGCATGGATTCCTCCAGCCTCTGCCTGGGTCTTTTTCTCTTATCATCCAACTTCACTCTAATCAATTTTAGCCTTGAGTCCAACTATGTACTCATTTCCATGAGTTCTTCTAGCCAATCTCCAAATATGGGGGTGGTTCTTAGAGACCCTCAACACAGCAGGTTGTCAAAAAGCCAAGATTCTTACCTGCTGATACGCTTCATAGATCACATCAAACAGAAAGGCCTGTGGCATTTCACTTGCCCTGTGTCTCACACGTTCCAGTGAGTGGTCTAAGCAGCCATCTACAGATGGACTGATGACAGTAGATACAAGGGGTCGGATTGCTCCTGCAGCCTAAAGGATAAACAGAGAGGCAAAAGACACAGTTATTTCAGTTAGAAAATATCTGAGAGTCAAATTCTGAACTCTGTATCTTTGTTTTGAAACAGACCTTACACCTTCAACAAGCTACCTCAAGAACATATTTAAACAAGTCTTAATTTCGTTCATAAATCAAGTCATTCCCAGTCAAAAACCAATCTCATACCACTACAGTTCCATATATTAGAGACAGAAATAATTTTTCATTATGGATCCAAAATCCTCTTCATCACAGGCCACTGAAGTCAAATACGAAAAAAAGGATGCTAAGATACAACTGAGTATTCCCTGAAGATGGAAAGAAGGAGATTATTGGCAAAGAACGGAAACGGATTATACGTGAATATTTACTTGTTAGTGTGTCTTCAAGTATTTAACTTACACATTACATCATTAAGGAACAAGACATATTCCCTAAGATCCCCAAAATGAGCTCAGACACCAGCCAGGTGACAATGAATATATGTCTTGCTCTAATTCCTGCAAAAAAAAAAAACAGCTCCATTCAAACACAGCATCAGTGCAACATTCCCTGAGGCTAATATCCATTGATTTCAATTGCTCTTATGAAAGCTCTGTCTCATTAATAGATGCATCTAAATTTTAAAAAGACACCTTATCTGACAGCTTTCCCCTTTACCTTTAATAAGTTTCACTGTAATATAGTCTTGAAGGTCATTACCAGACAGCTACCTTGGTGAAGCAGCCGTAAAATAAACTTCCCAGGGTAGGCCTTAACCCAGCTGTCTTATATTGACTATAAAATGTCCTATCTTGCATGTAATTGCAGCATATAACATGAATACCTAAGAACAAATCTAGTCTCAAGGAGACCAACATCTGAGAAGGACAGTCCATAAACTAGTTTACAAAAGCCAAGGGACTGGTTGAAAATCAAAGCTAATGTGAGAGCCAAGCAGACTGTACAAATTGTGTCGCCATTTCCAGTAACTCAAGCAGAGGTTTGGAGCCTAGGCATAATAGCCAAAGTGAAGAGACAGCCAGGGATGATAGGGAAGGAGTAAAGTCCAAGTAGGTGAAAGGTAGACAAAGAGCAAGCCCGTATGGTAGTTCTAGTTTTAGTTTTTTAAGGAACCCCCACAGTGTTCTCCATAGTGGCTATACCAGTTTACATTCCCACCAACAGTGCAGGAGGGTTCCCTTTTCTCCACACCCTCTCCAGCATTTATTGTTTGTATTTTTTTTTTTTTTGTGCGGTATGCGGGCCTCTCACTGTTGCGGCCCCTCCCATTGCAGAGCACAGGCTCCGGACGCGCAGGCTCAGAGGCCATGGCTCACAGGCATAGCCGCTCTGCAGCATGTGGGATCTTCCCGGACCGGGGCACGAACCCATATCCCCTGCGTTGGCAGGCAGATTCTTAACCACTGCACCACCAGGGAAGCCCTGTTTGTATATTTTTTTGATGATGGTCATTCTGACCAGAGTGAGGTGATACCTCATTATAGTTTTTATTTGCATTTCTCTAATGATTAGTGATGTTGAGCATTTTTCATGTACCTTTTGGCCATCTGTATGTCTTCTTTGGAGAAATGTCTATTTGTTTTTTTGATATTGAGCTGCATGAGCTGCTTATAAATTTTGGAGATTAATCCTTTGTCAGTTGCTTCATTTGCAAATATTTTCTCCCATTTTGAGGGTTGTCTTTTCGTCTTGTTTATGGTTTCCTTTGCTGTGCAAAAACTTTTAAATTTCATTAGGTCCCATTTGTTTATTTTTGTTTTTATTTCCGTTTCTCTAGGAGGTGGGTCAAAAAGGATCTTGCTGTGATTTAGGTCATAGAGTGTTCTGCCTATGTTTTCCTCAAAGAGTTTTACAGTTGCTGGCCTTACATTTAGGTCTTCAATCCATTTTGAATTTATTTTTGTGTATGGTGTTACAGAGTGTTCAAATTTCATTGTTTTACATGTAGCTGTCCAGTTTTCCCAGCACCACTTATTGAAGAGACTGTCTTTTCTCCATTGTATATCCTTGCCTCCTTTGTCATTGATTAGGTGATCCAGCAATCCCACTCCTGGGCATATATCCAGAGAAATCGATAATTCAAAAAGATACATGCACCCCAATGTTCATTGTAGCACTATTCACAATAGCCAGGACATGGAAGCAACCTAATGTTCATCAACAGAGGAATGAATAAAGATGATGTGGCACATATATACAATGGAATATTACTCAGCCATAACAAAGAATGAAATAATGCCATTTGCAGCAACATGGATGGACCTAGAGATTGTCATACTGAGTGAGGTTAAGTCAGACAGAGAAAGACAAATATCCGACGGTATCACTTATATGTGGAATCTAAAAATAAGGGTACATATATATATGTATAACTGACTCACTCTGTTATAAAGCAGAAACTAACACACCATTGTAAAGCAATTATACCCCAATAAAGATGTTAAAAAAAAAAATAAAATAAAAAAATAAAAATAAAAATAAGGGTACAAGTGAACTTACCTACAAAACAGAAATAGGGTTACAGATGTAGAAAACAAACCTATGGTTACAGGGGGTAAGCAGGGGAGGGATAAATTGGGAGGTTGGGATTAACATATACACACTACTGTATATAAAACAGATTAACTAGTAAGGACCTACTGTAGAGCACAGGGAACTCTACTCAATACTCAGTACTCTGTAATGGCCGATATGGGAAAAGAATCTAAAAAAGAGTGGATATATGTATAACTGATTCACTTTGCTGTACACCTGAAACAAACACAACATTGTAAATCAACTATACTCCAATTAAAAAAATAAAAAGAGCAAGCCCGACTTGTCAAGCCTAGCACCTATCAGCAGAGGTTAGAAGACAGGAAAGGAACACACATGCACACACGTCATAGTGTTTTTTTAAGGAAAAAAATATAGTTCTATTACTTATAGTTAATTAACTACTTACAGTTAATTCTATGCCAGACAATGACATAAAAATTTAAAAGAACATGAGACATACAAAATGTCTCCATGAAGAGCTGTGCAGACTCTCTAGCTGTGCAGCTAGAGAAAAGCATTTTTAAAAAAACAACCATTTAAAGCCTTTGAAAATTGTCCTAAGGGCATTTAATAAATTAACATTTAAGAATCTCTCTTAAACCTTGGAAAGAACAGAGTCTGTGGTACTGGAACCGTCATCTGTTTTTTTCCTTCATTTCCACAACACCCAGCTCAATGTGACCTAAGTTCCACTCAGAGTAGGTATGGCCAGAAAGAAAGGGTTCCCTCTCCCACCAGCTCCCAGTGGGAGGGGCAGAGTGCCAGCATTTCCCATCCCACTCAATTCCATGTCACAAGGGCTCAGTTACCAGCAAGTACGGCCAAGACGTTGTAGACTCCCTTCACCCACATAGCTTCCACCCAATAGAGTGGAAGACCCACCCCAGGCATGGTAGGTAGAGAATACTGGGGCCCTGATCACGCTTGGCCCAGTCACACACAGGGCAGAGGTTCGGTGCCAGGAGAGGCAAAAAGAAGATGAGTCTAATGTCTCCAGGCAGCACCCTGCTCACGAAGTAGTGGTGTCACTCCAACAACATGCCCACCTGTAGCTCCAAAGCAGTGGCATGGTGATTTTTCACAGGGAGAAAGACAGGCTCTAAGAAGAGAAAGCCACTAAGCTCTCCCCAAGCGAACTTGCTGAATTAGAAGTGTGAGGAATTTTAAGGGGAAGCACTCTCTCAAAAGAAACAGAGATCGTGGTAAGCAATTAAGAGGAAGGTGAGAGCTTCATGAGAGCAAAACGCTGAACCATAGGGAAACTAGTTTACCAGAGACAACCAGAACAAGAGACAGCTAACAAGAATCACCCACCCACCCACCCCCAGAGTCAGAGCAAACCTCCAATACTGGCTTTACAAACTATCCCTGGCTAAGGGACCAGAATTTACTTGGATCAAACTGTAGGGTACTTTATGTATTTGGCAGTGCTCTGAAAAAAGAGCAGTCAGCAGGCAATGAATGGAGCTTATCAGCTGGGTGTCAAAGGCAGACAGTATAACAGAGATGGGGGAAATACAGATGAAGTGAACCCTGCTAAAACAACTGTCATTCCGTGGTGACTGAACACTTGTCTAGAACTGCACCCTCTGAAGTGACTTCAGAGGTTTTGCCCTGTACAGGAATAAGACTGTGACTTTGCTGGTCTATTATAGTAGCCAAGAAAATAATAAGCCTTGGGGAGGTAACTGGAACTGACAAAATACATTATGCAAAATATGCATTTTTCAACAACAACCAAAAAATGTAAAGACATGCATCCAAACAGGAAGGTGTGATCTATACAATGAAAAAAAAAAAAAAGAAAAAAAAGCAGGCAACAGAATCTGCCTGTGAGAGGGCCCAAGTGTCACACTTATCAGGTAAGACTTCAAATCAGGTATTATAAATATGTTCAAAGAACAAAAGGATATCATGCATAAAGGAATAAAGTATGATGACCATTAGTATTATCAATATTAGGAATACCTATTTTTAAAAACTGAGTAGCAATTTTAGAATTGCAAAACAGCTAAAATGAAAAATTCACTAGAGGGGTTCAACAACAGATTTGAACAGGAGAATAACTGAACTTAAAGTCAGATCAACAGATTACACAAAGAAAAATTCACAGAGAAACGCAGGACATCATTACAGACATTTTTGTAATAGGAGTACCAGAGGAAAAATGAAGGCAAGAAAGGAGCAGAAAAAATATTCAAAAAATTATGACTGAAAATTTCCCAAGAAAAGCAATCTGCACACTCAAGGAGCTCAGTATACTCAAAGCACAATACACACAAAGAAATTCATATCCAGACACATCATAGTAAAAATGCGAAAGCTAAAATCACAGGAAAAAAACTTGAAAGCGGCCAAAGAAAAATGTTTTATCATTAACAAGGGAACACCAATAAGATTAACAACTGATTCTAATCAGAAACAACGGAAGCCAGAAGGCAAGTGGGTGATA